CTTGTATCTTATCTTACCTGTTGGAATGTGTCTTCAAAGTAGTTTGACATTCTAAGTATCTAAACCAGCTTTTTTTTTTTTTTTACCTAGTACAAAAGACTTTTCAATCCTTGATACTTAGTTTGAAAATCATGAATTCTGAATGCTGCATTGATCATTCCATATATTATATTCTACAAAAAATAAAACAAGACCAGGAAAAGACTTCATAAACTTGAACCATATGAAATTACCTGTATTCAATGGTTTTTTTAACCTACAAATAGGGCAATTTCATATGGTTCCCACTTGTAGATTATACTAAATATTTTTATAGCTATATTTTAAATTATTTTTATTTTATATAAAGTACTGAATATGTGGGCTGCTCCCATCACCTGATAATAATGCTATATAAATTGCTGAATTCTTCAGAATACTCTACATTCAAATTTTAAGCAGTAATCAATTAATTATAAAATTTTCTAACTTTGCAAAAAAATTAGAGACAAGTCAATAATATATTTTAAATAATGACCAACTACAGAAAATTACTTAAGAGTCAAAGTTTAGTCATATATGATACTGGAAGAAAATATAATACACAGAATCTGAAACAGCACATGCAAATATCTCTGATTTGTCTTTGAATTGAGTTTTGCACCTGGATTTTGAATATGAATGTTCCTTGAATTGAGTTTTGAACCCGGATTTTGAATATGACTGCTCTTTGAATTTAGTTTTGAATCTGGATTTTGAATATGAATGTTCCTGAAATGCTAAGTTGACAAGGCTTCATAATAAATATTGAACCCTTATAATGCTTGTATGATCCAAGCATATAAAAAGTTTCTTGCTATTTGTCCCTAAATATCCATTCACTACCCTAACACACCCAGTCCCACACTCCAAAGACACAATATCCTTTTTTAAAGACTACTGCAAATCACTGCTTAAAGCAACACAGACTTATCTTCTTGGTCAAGATCTGGTTTCCATGCTGTCTTCCTACATTTGTTTTATAGAGTTAAGAGGTCCTACTTAGATCTTCTCAAGACTTCTTTAAGTGCAATGGGAAGCTATGTCAGTATTTAATGTTTTCAAAATGCATTTCAGAAATTTAGCTTTCATTTTCCAGCAGATAAACAAAAATAGGCAGTAAAATGTTACATAAACTGGAGATCTACTTTCTAAAAAGCTAGCCATTAAAGAAATAAAGTGAATTAGCAACCTTTTTTGGAAGAAGTACAAAATGTTTACCTTATACTTGTCAAAGTCATAATTCATATATATTTGCTTATTTATCGTGTTTCCTCCTCTTCCTCCTACGGTGTTATAAACACCATAAAAGTAGAGATTCTGTTTATTTTATTCATATATGTGTGTATGTGTGTATTTGTTTATATGCATCTTATATGTGTATATAACACAGGATATATATACACAACACATATGTCTACATATAACATATGTAGATATATACATATGTGTATAATGTGCTACTAGTATACTACAAGCTAAATTAAGTATTTGTTGTATCAATGAATAAATGAAACTTTAAAATCTAGTCTATAAGTATCTATCTGATGTTTTTATCTCTTCAACAATAAATCTCTATCGGCACCACAACTTAAGTTTACTTAAAGTACACTCTCTCTAATTTTCAGCTTTGTACTTACTTTCTGAATTACTGAATCTCAAATATCTCACAGGCCTTCTTTAAGAAGATACGTAAGCTATGTGCATACATAGACACATAATAAACAGTAAACCTTGAAATTTTTGTTTACTCCTAACCTTTCCTCTTTCCTCAGTATCTGTTCTTTGGTTTTAGCCATATGTAATCATAAGTCAATGTACAAATGTTGAGAGTCTACAGTGTGACAGGCAATGTGTTTGGCACTAACAATAAAGGGATGGAGCTCTCTGTTTAAGCAGAGACATATAAATGAAAACAAATTAGCATACAAATAGAGGAATGCCAACAGAAGTATACACAATGTGTTACATATGTTTGAAGAGGGGGCAGCTGTACTTCAGGAACAATTAAGATGTGAAGGTAGGAGAAAAATTTCACAGCAACTTTGTTATATCTTGAAGGAAGACCATGGGGTCTCATTAAATGTCAGGAAGAACATTCATTTTAGGCAGAGGAAACAACAAATACATAGGCAGTCTCTCTGCCACGCCCTTCATTTAGTTCTGCAAAAAGTGACAATAGCACCACCAAGCTGCCCTGGTATACTCCAATGGTTCTAAATTGCATTATCATTTTTTCCTCTGGCTTAAATCAACTTTTATTTTGTAGTATGGAAATTTAACCTGGTGCAAAAGGCCCTTCATAGTCAGAATGATCACTTCAGCTTTGTCTGAACAAACAACTTCCAACATCTGTTTGTGAGTGTATCTCAAGTCTCATGACCCTTGCAAGGGCTATGTTCTCTCAACTCAGAATACCATCTTTCTCCTACTACTAATTCTGCTTGCTTTCAAAAACTAAACACAGTTATTACGTATTCAAAGAAGCTTTTATGAAACTGAATGTGCACCCCTATAGCAGCATGGCAGTATTTGTTTTTTCCCATTGATCACAATGTGCCATCAGAATGTGGCTTATTGATTTGCCTCATCACAAAGATAAGCATCTCTCTTATCTCTGCCTCACTTGCAGAGGGCACCAAACACAGGGACCCATGAAAAACACTTAAATAACCTACAATGTGGGATAATTTAAACAGTTCTCTAGTGCCTTAAGAATGCTAATGTGTTCTCCATATTAACTAGCTATTAACTCTTTGAAATCATAGAATTAAGCATTCAAAAAGACTCCAGGGCTATCTAACGCAGTGTTTTAAAAAATATTTTTGACCATAACCCACAGTTAGAAATCTTCAACATCATGGCCTGGTGCACATACTCATATATCTGAATCTGAATCTGAATCATATATCCATAATATAATATTTATATGAATACTTAAGATATAGAAAAAAATAACAAAATTAATACAAATCTTATTTTATTACAGTTTAAATATACCAACAACAAATGAATAATACCAAAATAAACCAAAGAATAAACCAATAAACCAAAAATTGCTTTTAGCTATCCACAAATATTACTTCAAGGCCCATTAATGGTGACAACCCCTCCCCTCATTCATTTACTCATAAACCTTCCCCACATTTCACAGATAAAAGTGAGGTCTTGAGAAGTACCAGACAAGTGAGTCCAAAGTTGGATCCTGAACACATCTAAACACTGGTACTCTTTCTACTTCACCAAAATGAGAAAGACAGGGCTTTTGCTAAGAAGCTATAGTCTATCTGACTAATTCATTCTTTGAGACTAGATCCCTTGGGCAAAATACCTTTACTAATGAATTCAATAAACCCACTGTCTAAGCTTCTTATGTTTATACACAATCTATATTTTTTGACAGAATATTTGTTTTAAAAGCAGATCTGATTTGAAATCTAATTTAGCAAGAATATTTTAAAGCCTCAGAATAATAAATGTTTGAGATGATGAATACGCTAATTGCTCTGATCTGATTACTATGTATTACAGGTATTGAAATAGCACTATACTGTAGCCCATAAATATGTAGAATTATTATATGTCAACTTAAAAATAAAACAAAAAAATCCTCAGAACTCTAATAAACTCTGGATCAAAGCTGATGAGGCTTCAATATAGAAATTTCATATTGTAATGATATTTTTAGGGTGGAAAAGTGAGTGTTTAGAGATGATGCCATAAGTTGGGAAGAGGAGAACCAGGCTGATAGAAAACACATACTGAAGAATTCTGAAATAACTTAAAATAAGAGAACTTCAAAATGTTTGCTAATTTTTTACAGAAATTTTGAGCATATCATATTTATATGAATGATAGTTAAATATAAAAGTTTTTCTACTGTACAATTTATCTTATTCTGTCTTTATCTTGATAAATAAAAAATATACTTTGTGGTATTTAGTAAGAAGTACAGATAATATGCTATATCATGCTATCATGACGGGGTCTATATGGGAGATTTATGCATGAAATGGACAATCTTCTTCAGGTTCATGCTGTCATTTGAAAGTAAATTAGGGAGGGCAGGAACACTCATCATTTAAGAGTGCCAGAGCCTACAGGCTTTAAGTATTTAGGTTAATTGAAGACAAAATCAAATGACTGAACAATTAAAATTATCACAAAATCATGATTAAGTTGGAAACATCAGTCAGTGCAGAACACGTAGGAAATTTGTGTCTGTAGAAAGATCAAGAACCTTTTTAAGAAACAAGGCTAGACGTAGCACAGTTTGAATGAAATCCTTCATCAAATATCAATTATTCCTTTTGAAGTCTATAAAACTATAGCCTGAATATTACCTAACATAAATATATAATACAAATTTATTTACCTTAAATTCAATAATTGATCAATTATTTTGGAGTTCAATTATGACACAGAGTCTAGATTTTGTTAATTTGATAACTTTTTACATATGAGTATTTTAATTGTAATCATTTCACTCATGATACATGCAATAACCTCACTGCTATCATACTTTCTATTAGAGTTAAACAAATAAAAATTTTAATAGACTCTCCTCTTAAATTTGTATTTAATTTTCCCAGAATATACTTCAATAAGCAACATATGATAAAAATGTATATCATGCTATGGAACATGGAAAAGTAACTAAATGGGCTATATTAAACACTTTATCCTTTGAAGTATAGGTTTTTCTAAATGTTTTAAATATTAATATAGTTAACTTATTACCTCATATCACTCCCATTTCTTTTATTTAGAAACAAAAAAACACCACACTGGCCTCTGTTGTTCAAAAAAATTCTGATATTTAAAAACAACAACAATAGAACTTTAATATAAATACAATAACACACGTTAAAACTCTAATGTTTAAATCAATTTCCACCAGCCAACATTTGTACTACCTGTCTCAGGAATTGTAAACCTCTGTCCCCACTGACAACCTTTACTGAGAAAAGCTGAATACTTACGCGTACATCATGAACTCAGGACTAGGGCAGCTTCTATTCAGTCACCATCTGATCTGTATCAGCAGGTTAGGACTGGGAGGCTGCAAAATAATGATAGTCACTGGCAACAAGAAAGGAAACAAGTTTGACAGGTTTACTGAGTGAGGTATGCAGTCTTCTAGCCTGATAAGAACAAGAACATGATCAATTTTGTGCCAACTGGCTCCACACAGGGAAGTAATTGTCAGTATCCGCATAGAGAAGCTCCAAGTAGTAGAGGGCTCAGAATGTGCAACTTGTGATGATTCAGAAGACCACACTTTTCCAGTTGGGGAAGTATGATAAGCATTGAGGTGTGGCCCCAGTTTGCTTTCCAAAAAAAAAAAAAGCCAACAAAACAAAGCACACTAGAGCACACTGATAGCACTTATTTGTTCATTAGAAATGTTCTGTCTCTTCCCTTTGGGGGAATAACAAGGTGTAGTGGAGCGGAGAAGACCTACATTATGAACCAGGGCACCTGTCTCAGCCATTATTCAGCTTATTGGGACTTACTTTCCTCCTGAGGAAAATGGCAGGACTGTATTAGCTTTTCTTAATACTGTCCATTTTAGCTCTAAATATAATCAAATGTATTGAAACAATTCATTTACCCAAAAGGAAGGTAAATAACAAAAGCAAAAATGTATTTTCTTCTTTCTTATTATTAGGAATAACTTTGTCCATCTTAGTGGTATGAATTCCCCAGTATTTACAAACCATCCCTTTAAATACTTTCATGTATCTGTAGAGAATTCAGTATAAATACATGAACTTCTTATAAAGATTAGAAAAGTTACAAAATAGAAATTACAATTTTAAGAGCTACTAAGGCTCAGAGTCAAAAGATATTAAAGAAAAATGATAAATTTGTATTTTCATTGTATAGAATATCTTCATCTAAAATGCTAAAAATGCAATGTGCATCTAATTGTAACACTTTCATTATAATGCTCTGCAAAGGTATTAAAAGGACAATAGGAGAAAAAGAGAGGAATAAAAAACACACAAAACAACCTGAAAACAATTAACAGTATGACTTAAACAAAAGCAGACATATCAATGATAGCCTTGAATGTAAATAAATAAATTAAATTTTCAAAGATACAGACAACAGATAAAAAACCATGACCCAAATACATGCTGCTTATAAGAAACACACTCTACCTCTGACAAATTGATAAAGTGCTAAATCCAGGGAGAGGATTTAGCAATTCTAAATATATATGTGCCCAACACTGGAGCACCCATATTCATAAAGTGGGATTTATCCAAGGGATGCAAGAATGGTTTAAAACACATAAATCAATAAATATAATATATCACATCAACAGAAAATAAACAGATTCATCACATCAACAGAAGAACAAAAACCAAAACCATATTATCAGTCTCAATAGACACAGTAAAAGCATTTGATACCATTCAACACCCCTTCATGATAAAGGCTCTCAACAAACTAGGCTCAAAAGGAAGATACCTCAAAATAATAAAGGCCATATATGACAAGCTGACAGCTAACATTATACTGAATGGAAAAAAAGTTGAAAGTCTTTCCTCTGAGAACTCAAATAAGACAAGAGGGTCCACTTTTACTGCTCCTATTCAGCACAGTAATGGAAGTCCTAGCCAGAGCAATCAGAAAAAAGAAAGAAAGAAAAGATATTCAAATTGGAAAAGAGGAAGTCAAATTGTCCCTCACTGCAGATGAAATGATCTTATATTTAGAAAAAACAAAAGTCTTTACCAAAAAACTCTTAGATTTGACATGCAAATTCAATGAAGTTGCAGGATACGAAGTCAACATACCAAAATCAGAAGTGTTTCTATACACCAATAATGAAAGAGCCAAAAAAGAAAAGAAGAACACAATCCAATTTACAATAACTACAAGAAAATAGAATACATAGAAATAAATTTAACTGAGGAATGGAAAGATCTTTATAAGAAAAACTACAAAATACTGATGAGAGAACTCAAAGAGGACACAAACCGAAAGACATTCTATTCTCACGGACTGGAAGAATTAATATCTTTAAAATGACCATACTGCCTAAAGCAAGCTACAGATTCAATATGATCTCTATCAAAATACTAACATCATTTTTCACAGAAATAGAAAAAAAGAATCCTAAAATGTTATGGAACAAATAAGAGCCTGAATAGACAAGGCAATCCTGAATATAAAGAGCAAATTGGAGGAATGACACAACCTGACATCAAAACATATTACAAGGCTATATTAACCAAAATAGCATAATGCTGGTATGAAAACAGACACGCCAATGGAACAGAATAGAGCACACAGAAATAAAACCACATATTTAGAGCCAATTGATTTTCAAAAATGGTGCCAAGAACATACACTGGTGAAAGGTCACCCTCTTCAATAAATGATGCTGGAAAAATTAGATATCCATATGCAAAAGAATAACTGGACGCCATCCTTCACCATATACAAAAATTAACCCATAATGGATTAAAGACTTAAACATAAAACCCAAAACTATAAAACTACCAAAAGAAAACATTGGGAAAACATTTTGTGACATCGATCTGGAAAAAAACTTTATGGGTAAGACCTTAAAAGTATTGAGAACTAAAACAGAAATAGACACCTGGGAATATATTAGATTAAAAAGCCTCTGTACTGCAAAGGAAATCATCATTACAGTGAGGAGGCAACCTGTTAAATGGGACAAAATATGTGCAAAATATTCATCTGACAAGAGACTAATATGCAGAATTCACAAGGAACTCGAACAACTGAACAACAACAAATAAGCACATTAAAAAGTGGGCAAAGGCAAGAGTTCAAGACCAGCTTGGGCAGCATAGTGATACCCCATCTCTACAAAAAATAAAATAAAGTAAAAATTAGCTGGGTGTGGTAGCACATGCCTGTAGCCGCAGCTACTTGGGGGTCTGAGACAATGGGGTTGTCTCAGCCCAGGAGTTTGAGGTTACAGTGAGCTTTGATTGTGCCACTGCACTCCAGCCTGGGTGACAGAGTGAGATCCTGTCTCTAAAAAAAAAAAAAAAAAAAAAAAAAAAAAAAAAAAAAAAAATGGAGCAAAGGATATGAACAGGTAATTCTCAAAAGAAGATATATGGGCTGGGTGTGGTGGCTCACACCTGTAATCTCAGTACTTTGGGAGGCTGAGGCAGGTGGATGATGAGGTCAGGAGTTCGAGACCAGCCTGGCTCTGTCACTACTAAAAACACAAAAATTAGCCAGGCATAATGGTGGGCATCTATAATCCCAGCTACTTGGGAGGCTGAGGCAGTAGAATCGCTTGAAACCAGAAGGCGGAGGTTTCAGTGAGCCAAGATCATGCCACTACACTCCAGCTTGGAAAACAAGAGCAAAACTCCATCGAAAGAAAAGAAAAGAAAAGAAAAGAAAAGAAAAGAAAAGAAAAGAAAAGAAAAGAAAAGAAAAGAAAAGAGAAAGGAAGGAAGGAAGGAAGGAAGGAAGGAAGGAAGGAAGACAGACAGGAAGAAAGAAAGGAAGAAAGAAAGAAAGAAAGAAAGGAAGAAAGAAAGAAAGAGAAAGAAAGAAAGAAAGAAAGAAAGAAAGAAAGAAAGAAAGAAAGAAAGAAAGAAAGAAAGAAAGAAAGAAAG